TGTTTTGTTTGTTTGTTTGTTTTTAGGTTATTAGGAGGGAGGTGGGGGGCGGTTTGTTAATTTTCTTTTATTTTGTTTTGTTTTCTGTTTGTTTTTTTGTATTTTGTTGTTGTTGTTATTTTCTTTGTTTATTTATTGGTTTCTTTTTTCTGATTTTGGTTTTGTCAATTTTGGATCATTTTGGTATCGGATTCGACGCACCTTTTTTCAATATTTTTCTTATTTCTTAAAACCTTTTCCTATTTTCTTCTCCCTCCTCCTCTTCTTCTACACTATTTACAGCACTTTCTTCTTCTTCTTATCTCCCTCACTTATGAAATGGATTTCCTTAGTCTCGCACCTTTGATAACGTTCATCATCTTCAGATAAGGAGATACCTGTTGCTCTGGGGAATAAGAAAACTATCTAGAAATATATTCAAATATTGGATATATCCTGACTGTGACAAATAGATCGACAAATTAATGCTATTATGATATTCGAATGTTAAGTTTATATATTATAATTTAAGTATATTATAATTTATAACGTATTTTTAAAAATCTATTCGATAAAAGAAACGATCATATTTTTTACCCCTTTAAAGAAACGATAGGCCTACGCAAAAAAGGAATATTAATGTGTATATATATAAATAAATCTCAAATTCAAATTATTTCGACTGTATTTGTTATAGGAAGTCATCGACGAAACTGCTCTGTCGTTGTTCTGAAACAAAGAAAATAAGTAAATTAATGAATGCTTCTTGAAAACACGTTATTTTTTTCTTTCTCATGAATCATATCATAACATTTTATAGCAATTTTGTAACAATCTTTTTATTTTTTTTGTAACATTTTATAAAAGCATTGTAATATTTTCATAATAATTTTGTAACATTTTTTATAATATTTTGTAGTCATTTTGTAACATTTTTATAATATTTTGTAGTCATTTTCTAACATGTTTATAACATTTCTGTATCAAGAACACGGTGAAGGTGTAATTCCGAACAAAGTAGGATGAAAAAAGATGATAAAAAAAAAAAATAATAATCTCATTACCACAATATTTTCATTATTCGTTATATGTTCAGGTTCCTAAGGATCGTTCATTCAGCTGTTAACGTTGCCACATAAAAAGAGTGATTGAAAGGCATTCAAGACTGTTCTTCCTTAAAAAAGTTTTTTTCTTTTCTTTTTTGCGACGGAGTAGACTTACACGCGCACATATATACCCATAAGCAAATAAGGAAACAGATGAACAAAACAATAAAAGCACTAATTCTGTTCCTCACACTTATATACACTCTCACTCGATGAAATACAAATATATGCAAATATATGGTATATCACTCCCACATACATATGCACATACGCACGCACACACAAACATACAAATACACACACATCGGCACACAAACGTAAAAGCACACACACACACACACACACTATAACCCCCCCCCCCTCCCTAAATCTCACACATACGCACTTTCTCACACACTCAGATTCACACATCCATACACACGTGCATATAACTTCCCTCATCACTCTCATCTCCAATCCCCACCCCCTCGTCCACCCCCACCCCCACCACCTACACTTGCCTAATCCCCCGGTATCAGCCATGGGTGTGTATTGGATTTTATTAGCCCGGTATTAAGGGTGTGTCAGTAATAAATGGCTGCTGATTGGGTTCCCCGAAGCAGAGTGAGTATTGTACATGTTGTGAGGTGTGTTTGGTTTCTCTCTCTTTCTTTGTTTTATTTTGTATTTGTTTGATTGTTGTTGTTGCTTTTTTGTGTGTTTGTGATTTATGTGTTTGTGTTTTTGTTTGTGTTTTGTATTTCTTACACGCATTTTGTTGTTGTTGTTGTTTTGTTGTTGTTTTTTTTTGTGCTTATGTACGTAGATGATAGTATATTTGATGACAATAACTATCCTTATAAAATCATCCGTCATTAATTATTCACACATATCTCACATTACGATGTCAACCCTTCGAAAATAACTGATAAGAGAAATTCGATAAACAGCTAGAAAATAGGGGAATAAAAGCAAATATTAAGTCTTCTTAACGCTTAAACATAAGACCAGCTATGTTACCAAGCCAGGAACATACGCTAATATTTCTGAAATTTATGCACCCTGTTTAGACATGTTATTCGCTCGCTGGTTAGTAGATTTTGCACTTGGCAACACTGAGATTTTGCATATACGGAAAAAAAATTGTATATTGTTGATCAGTGTTAATGTTATGGTTTATTATTGTTATTGTTATCATTCTTATGGTCATTTTCCTCTTCATTATTGTTATCATTATCATTGCTGTTAATATGTCATTATTGTTTATAAGTCGTTTTTATCATTAGTCTTATCATTATTAGCATTACAATATTCATTATTAATATCCCTTTTATTGCCAACATTATTACCAATATCATCATCATTGTCACTTATCGTTATAATTATTGTCTTCGTCAGTATTATCTTTATAAGTATTAATATCTTGATAGTTACCT